GTATTAAATTTCATTTTCTAATATTTTGTTGCTTGTATATAAGCATGCACTTGATTTAAAAAATAAATTAGTTGTGCATCCAGCAACCTTTCCAAATGAATTTCTCATAGTTCAATTCTCTTAGTTTATCCATAGATTTAAAAGAAATTTTGACTACCTAGACATTTTGTTTGTGAATAACGACAAGTTTATTTTTCTTTCATTCCAATCTTTAATCTTTTAGTTCTTCTTTTTCTAATTTTATTGCATCGGCTACAGCCCCCAGCACAATTCTGGATGGAAGTGCTGATAGCACATCTTAGTGTCTCAAGGGGAAATCTTTCAATATTAAAGCATTTAACAGTACAGTGTACAGTGTTTCTTATGGATTTTTAAAAGATAAACTTTATCAGGTTAAGTAAATCCCCATTTATTCCCAGTTTACTAAGAGTTTTTAATACATGTTGAATTTTTTCATGGCTTTTCTGCATTTATTGAGGTAATCAGATAATTGTTATCACTACCTTTTGTTAATTGGCATTGATTGATTTTTTTGGTTAAGCTAAACTTTGATTCTTGGAATAAACCCCTCCTGATCACATTGTATATTCTTTCCATTTATTCCTAGATTAGATATGGAATTTAGTTAAAAATTTTTGTGTATACATTTATAAGGGATATTGGTATGTATTTTTCTTTTTCTGAATTTTTTGTCTGGTTGTGGTATGAAGGCAATGGTATTTTCTTTAAATGTGTAGGGAAACATTTTTTTTTCCCCTCTTTGTTACCTAAAAGATTTGAATAAAATGACTACTATGCTTTAATTTAAAAAATATTTTATTTATTTGTTTGACAGAGAGAACACAAGCAGGGGGAGCAGCAGGCTGAGGGAGAGGGAAAAGCTGGCTCCCTGCTGAGCAAGGAGACAAATGCAGGGCTCCATCCCAGGATGCTGGGATCATGACCTGAACCAAAGGCAGCTGCTTAGCCCACTGAGCCACCCAGGCACCTCACTTCATTTTTTTTTTTTTGTAGAATTTACCAGTAAAGTAATCTGGACCTGGAGGTATTATAGTCTACCTGTAAGTCTCTCTTTATCTCTCAATCTCTTTCTCTGTCTGTGTGAAGATTTTTCATTATGAATTGAATTGAATTTTAAAATTTCTTGTAATATTCATATTTATTAGTATAAAGTTTTTTGTCATCCTTTTATTAATGTTTGTAGGATTGTATACTGATGCCTACATGATCATTCTTAATACATTGATAAGTTATGATTCCTATCTACTTTTTTCTTGCGTAGGCTTACTAGAGGTTTATTAATTTTATTAATCTTTTTCAAAAACCAGTTTTTGGCTTTGTTGATTCTATTCTATATATGTTTTATATGATATTATTAATTTCTCCTTCTGTCTTTATTATGTTTTCTCCTATTTAAATAGTTTTTTCTTGTGGCTTGTTGAAATGGATATTTAGACAATTGGTTTTAGCCTTAATTTTTTCCTAATAAATTAATTCAAGACTATAAATTTCCCTCTAAGCACAACTTTGACTGCATCTCACAAATTTTGAGACATGGTTTTTGTTTACCACTTGTTTAAAAATATTTTCCAATTTCTATTATGATTTCTTCCGTGGACTGTAAGTTATTTAGAAATAAGTTGCTTAAGTTCTTAAAACACATCCTAAAATAATCTTTTTGTTATGATTTCTAATTTAATTCTACATATTTCAATATACAGTCTTGATTTATTAATTTCTCAACCAATTAGTTCTCTTACCATTTTCCAGATAAAGACCTCAGAACATTTTAAGTCCATTTTCTCCCTCCCAGTTTTTGTTATTATTACCATGTATTTTAATTCTATGTATTTTTAAGCTCATAAGATGTTATTTCCTACATTTAATATTAACTTAGATGTACTGACATTTCTATCCTTTCTATTGCTCTTTATGTCTCTCTGCATTTTCATCATCTGGTGCTTTCTTCCTCAAGCACTTGCTTTAATTTTTCATTTAATGTGAGTCCATTTTATTGGCTTGAAAATTTCTCTTGTCTTTGCTTTGATGAACATTTTTGTTGGAAATAGATTCTATATTAGCACTTAGTAAATAGCTATTTTCTCCCAGCACTTGTACTTTTCATTATTGCCCTCTGGATTCCATTATTTCTGTGAAGTAGTCAGGCCTCAGTCTTACTGATTCTTTTAAAAGAAAATATTTCTTCCTTCCCCTCCACTCTAGTTGCTTCAAAATTCTCGTTGTGTTTGGTTTTCAGCATGTTCACTATCATTTGTAGATACAGTTTTCTTCAAATTTATCCTGATTGGGGTTTAAAGCACTTTTTCTTTTTTGAAGCGCTTTTTCAATTTTGTGGCTAGATTTTCAATTTTGTGTCTTCTTTCAGTGCTGCAAAATTTAAGACTATTACTTCCTCAAAATTACTTTTGAATTGTTCTTTCTTTCTTCTCCTTCTGGGACTCCAAACATTTTCTTGGAATACCCGGTCTTTTACCACCGCCCCCTGCCCCCACCCAATATCTTCCATCCTTTTGTCTCCTGTGCTTTAGTCTGAATATTTTCTTTTGACCTTTAGTTTCACCGATCATCTCTTTGTGTCTGTTTCTGCTGTTAACCCATTTAACAAAAGTTTTAATTTTAGCTAAAGTATTTCTCAGTTCTAGAATTCTTTCGTTTCTCTTTTTAGATAAAATTATCTATCTCTTCATTTAATTTCTTCAGCATATAAATGAGATATTTTAAAGATATTTTAAAGTACATGTCTAATAGCCTAATATCTGTTCTTCTATGGGTCTGTTTTGTTTTAGTTATCTTGGTTTTTGGCCACATAGTCTTATTTTCTGATATGCCTAGTCATGTTTGATTGACCACAGGACCTCAGATATGAACAATTGTGGAGATAATTTGAGCCCTTGGATGTGCTTTCTGCATCCCTAGAGAATGTAATTTTGCATCTGTTAGGCAGCTTGGGTATGGGTCAATAACCTTAACCCAATCAGTGGTTAAGTTACTTCAAATCTGGAATTCAGTCTTTTGTGAGCATTGATTAGATTTAGGTTTTTCTCTGCTCCTAAATGAAGGCCTTTTGTGGTCTGAAATAAAAATCTGGGTAGTTTAATATGGACTTTTCTTTTTGAACTCCCAGTTTATGTCCCTCAGTCTTATAACACTGTACAAAGTTTTGCTAGTTTTTAACTTCTTAAGTTGCCATTTTTTTTGCTCAGCATCTTGATGTCTTAGTAACTTAGTAGGGAAAATAGTACCAAATGTTGTCATTGCCCCTTGAAGTTTCCTTTCTTTTTGGGATCTTGGCCCCTTAGTCCTCACAACTTTGGAGACGATTTTTTTTTAAAGATTTTATTTATTTGTTTATTTATTTATTTATTTATTTATTTATTTATTTATTTATTATTTTTTAATAATAAATTTAAGTTTTATTGGTGTTCAAATTGCCAACATACAGAAAGATTTTATTTTTTTTTATTCATGAGAGACACACAGAGAGAGAGGCAGAGACACAGGCAGAGGGAGAAGCAGGCTCCATGCAGGGAGCCTGACGTGGGACGTGATCCCGAGTCTCCAGGATCTGACCCTGGGCTGAAGGCGGCAGTAAACCACTGAGCCACCTGGGCTGCCCTTTGGAGATGATTTAATATTTTTAAAGAAATAATATAAATAGGAATACATGTACATGTAGTTCCACTCTTGTTTTTCACCATGGAAAGAGTGGTCTGCAACAGGCTTGTTCATCATTATGGAAAAAGTTACTAATCTATATGATTATTGTACATCATATTAATTAATTATTCCTGTTAATACTGAAGATTATGGTGAACATCTAATTAGATCATATGTGGGAAAGCTTGAGCAAACTGGAGAGCTCTATGCAAACACAAAGTATTATTATTCTCCTAATACAGAACATAATCTCTCTGAAACTTGTAAAAATATGGCAGAGAAGTATTTGATAATTTTGTATTTATTGTTTTTTAAAATCTAGATTCTCCTAAAGGGCCAAGGTCATCTAGTGAATATGCTACTCAATGCAGAAGTTGGAGAAGTTGGCAGTTTCATGCCAGTAAAACAGAGAGATGTATTTCCTCAACACAACCCAAAGGTAGAAACCGTCACTAAATGGACACTTAGACAGTCCTAATTGATGGAAGTGGAATGTCATGGGGTGTCTTAGACATATTGTATCCTTTTCTCTCAGGGTCTTTTGTCAAGATTCTCAGTGAGGAATGGTGCAGGACTAATCCACCTACCCTTGTTTTCCCATTCTCTCCATACCATACTTGCTCAGAGATTTCACTTGTAGGCAACCCTCCACTTATCCCTTCCTTTCTTCATACTAGACCTAACTTCTTTGCGAGCTCAAGTTTTACAGTACAGTAGAAGTTTTCAAAGGCAAAAGATTGGGAGTTAGTGTTGGTTTCATGCCAGACACTGTATCTTGATGTACAGCATCTCATAAAGTGTATTTATTTCCAAATAAATCTTACCTATTTTTAAAATAGATCTTATAAATAACTGCAATAAGCATTGTGTATTAGCTTAGGTTGAGTTATTATATGTTATTATATAAAGGGTTATAATAATAGTTCAAATTAATTATTCAGAATTATAAAGGATACCTCCAATGATGAATAAAAGTCAATGGTAATATGAAAAATAGAAATAGTGATTGAGAATAAATTTGGGAGGTGGGTCCTAGTGGAAGTGCATTGTTTGTCAGAAAAGAAGAAAATAGATGTAGTTTTATAAGTCAAGAAATAGAGATAAAAGCATTTAATGTAACATACTAATGAAACTCCCCAGAAGAATTAACACTAGAAATCTTTGAGTTATTATTTCAAGGAAGTGGACATTTGAGTGCTAATGGAATGGAGACTCTTTTAATTTGATACCATTCTGCACTCTGATGTTTTTATTTACCAAGTATAATAAAAATCATTTTTTAATGAGAACTTATAAACAAATCTGCACCTTTATTTATTTACTTAAATCCCTGAGGGATACATCATCACCCGGATTCTGAGGCCAATGACTTTAGCAGGAAGATTCCTTTGGAATTTGACATGAACCATCACTATGGTTCCATGAGCACAAGTTATTTTTCCCCAGATTACTCTGGTTTTGTTTGGTTTGCCACCAGGAGTCACTTTGTTGTCCTTTACTTTGTACACATAAGCACATCTCTTGCCTAGACAGAATTCAGTTCCATCTGGAGCAAAAACACCTTCAATTTTAAGAAGAGCCATATGTTCCCTCTGGCTCCAGAGATCCCACTCATAGCCAACAAAAATGGCCTTGGACCACAGCCTTTCAGACATATTTGTCATTTTAGGAGCCCTGTTCTCAGTGGCCTTCACAGGCTCCAAGATGGCAGAAAGAAAAAGGTCACTTTTATAATAAAAATAGTTTTAAAAGTAAGTGGATGTATTAGACAAACACATATAGCATCAAATAAAGATAGCAATATTAATAACAGAAATTAACATTTTTAAAATCTCAAAAACTAAAGACATGAAGGTGAATATATTCATAATTTCTTTGGTTAAAGAGGAAATCAAAACTGGATTTATAGTACTTTTCAGAAATGATAACTGTATTACTACATAAAAAGCTGTACTGGTAGTTATTGATTATAAGATGGTGTCAATATTCATTCTATTAATTGGCACCTGGGTTGTCTTCAGTTTGGAGTTATTCCAAGACTTATTTATTTGCCCATGCAGCTATTATTGACAGTGTGCTATGTCCCTTTACGTAGATGCATATTTCTATCTGGTATGATTTCCATTCTGTCCGAAGAACTTCCTTTAACTTTTTTTGTGGAGGGGTCTGCCAGTCATCAGACCCCGGTTTCCAGCTTCTGTATGTCCAAAAGAGTCTTTATTTAGCCTTCATTTTTGAAAGATATTTTTATGAGGTATACAATGCTAGTTGTATATCTAGTTGACAATTACTTGCTTTTAGTGCTTTAAAGATGTTTCTCAACTATCCTCTTATTTGCATTGTTTCTAATGAGAAATCTTTTGGACTTCTTATTTATATTCCTCTGTCAATAACATGCTTTTTCCCCCCTCTCCATACTTTTAAGGTATTCTATCACTGGTTTTGAACAATTTAATTATGATGTACTTTGTAATAGTTTTCTCCATGGATACTTTTGTATTTCTATAAATATTTTGAACTTTGTTGAAGAAATTGTGCTTAGGATCTGTGTTTCTTAGATCTGTGGGTTTATAGTTTTCATCAAGTTTGGAAAATTCTAGGCTATTAGTTTTCAACTATTTTTATGTCCCCTCCACCATACTTACTTATTCTTGAAGAATCTCATTACATACACATTTGGCTGCTTCAAAATTTTTCAACATCCCTAATGCTCGATTCCTTTTTTTTTTAATTCTGTTTTTTGTTTCATTTTGGATAGTGTCTGTTACAACATGTTCATGTTCACTAACCTTGTCTAGCCTGCTATTCATCCCATCCCGGGTATTATTCATATCAGACAGTTGTTTTCATCTTTAGAAGTTTAATTTATGTCTTTTTTTCTTTTATGACTTAATTTTGAACATATGGAATCAAGTTATAATAGTTATTATTGTTCTTGTCTGCTAACTACATCTGTGTCAGTTACTGTTGATATCAATTAATTCATTTTTTTTCTTCATTATCTGTCACAATTTCCTACTTCTTTCTATGCTTGGTAATTTTTGACTAGATGAAAGATATTGTGAAACTTATATCATTGGATGCTGGATATTCTTATATTTCTATTTGGATCTTTTAATAATATCTTTTATATCTTTAACTTTCTGAATATAATAACTTTTAAAATGTTTTCATGTACTCATTCTAACTTGTGTATAGTTCTTAGCCAGTTTTATGATTGATTGATTTTTCCCCCCTCATTATGGGTCATATATTGCTGCTTCTTTGGGTTCCTAGCAATCTCTGATTGGAGGCCAAACATTAAAAATTTTGCTTTTTTTGGGTACTAGATACTTTTGAATTCTTATAAAGAGTCTTCAACTTTGTTCTGTGGTGCAATTTACTTACTTATAATCAATTAGTCCTTATGGATCTTGTTTTTAAGATTTGTTAGGTGGGACCAGAAGAGTGTTTGATCTAAGACTCATTGTTCTCCACTGCTGATGCCAAGTCCCTTCTGAGAACTCAGTGCCCTCGGAAAATAAGGTTTTCCAGCCTGGCTAGTGGGAACAGGTGCTATTTCTGCATGAGTGCATGAGTGCTGTGCAATCCTCATCCCTTGGGTAGTTCTTTCCTTGGCCTGAGGTAGTTTTTTCACACAGTTGTGCTGATTGGTGGACTGCTGACTCAAGGTAACCTCTGGGGCTCTCTTAAGTTCCTTCCTGTACAACTCTCTCCTCCATGGACAATCTGTCCTGTCTCCTCCACTCAAGTAATCCACTGGCCTCTACCTATTTTTCCCCATTTTTCTTTACCACTTTCTGGAAACTCCTTCAAGTAAGTAAGTTGGGGCAATCACACTGCTCGCCTCATTTGTTTTCCATCTCTGCTCCAATGTCCAGTGTCTTGACAACCATTGTTTCATAAATTTTTTCTTTTTCCTTCTGATTGTTTTAAGCAGGAGGGTAAGTCCAGTTCTTTTTACTTCATCTTGGTTAGAAATGGAAGAAATTTATTATAAATTGTTAATTAAGGAAGAATGTTAAGAAAGAGCTCCTTGAATAATGAAATAACAAAAGAGGTATGAAATCTTGCAGCTGGTACTAAATCATTCCAGAGTGGATTTACTGCTGGACATTTACTTTTGTGAAGACATGGACTTCATATCATTTTCAAGCTTTTAAAAAGTAATCTGTCATTATTATAGTTCTGACAGTAGAAGTTTGAGTAATATATGGACTTATTATTTGAGCATATAAGTATAAAAACTCTTATCATAGCTTACTTTAGGGATCAAAATATCTGGATTGAAAAGAGAAGCCTGATAATGCTCCAGGCATCTCATTCTAGAGATCAATCCCTTTTAGAAATATTTCTTTTATAATTCCCTTTAACACATTGCCTTTGATTTCTAATACCTGCTGATAACACTAGATATCCAACACATTTATTAGTTTGACATTGCTTTAGGAGATTTTAGGAGATTTTTAATGTATATGAAATAGAAAACAATAATTTGAGGCACACCCTCTTGCTTGTTACATATATACAGTGAATCCAGTTTCTATCTTTAATAATGGGTTATTTCAATTTAGTTGCAAAATTTACACTTTTTTATGGGTTCTGTGCAAAATGTGTGGATAAGCTCGGGATGAGTGAGACATCAATTAAAGTGATAAGTTATTCATCCAAAATTGTAGAGGAATTTTACTTTAAAATTATCTTGTTTTTAAATACTTCTGAGTTAAAGCAAAAAGCTGAAAAAGACCCATAAATACAGAAAACAAACTAACAGTTGCTGGAAGGGGTGGAGACTGGGAAGAAGGGCAAAATGGGTGAAGGGGAGTGGGAGATACAGACTTTCAGTTATGGAATGAATAAGTCATGGGATGAAAGGCACAGCATAGGGAATATAGTCAGTGGTATTATGATAGCAGCGTACGCTGACAGATGGTAGCTACAGTTGTAGTGAGCATAGCATAAGGTATCACCGTATTGTATGCCTGAAACTAAGGTAACGGTGTGTGTCAACTATACTTTGCTAATAACTAAATACTTCTGAGTTGATACACTTAAAGTGCTTAGAATGGCAAGTTAGTCTGTTTAGCTTGGAATGTAAGGAGTTCAATACAGGTTAAAAATTAAATGATTTCTTACTCTCTGAACATTTTTTTTTTTTGAGATGTGTGTGATTGAGGTACAACTGAAGTTGTGGTACTGATTCTGTAAGTAACTGAATCTTTATGCTGATGACACATTGCATTTGTTTACCCACACTCAGTGTTTGACTTAAGATGAGATAGGGGTGAGCCACATGCCAAGGTGCAGGTTTTTTAATCTTCCTCACTCTTTGTCGATCATTTTTCATTTTAATGCCTGCTATGGTGGAGCTTCCATTCAGGAGATACTAGGTGAGGAAGAATGAGGAGAGAGGGAGCTGGGAGCGGTTTGGGGAGGATGGGTGAATGGCCTGGGTCAGGGCAAGGCTGGAGAACAGACATGAAAGGCAGAAAGAAAACTTCTGCAGAAAAGGCAGGGGAGCAGCATAGAATCAAGATGCATTCCTTTAGTGTTAACTTTGCCAGAGACTTCTCAGGGGAAATGCTTTCCCTGGAAATGCATTTAGGAGTCAGAGAACCAATAGAATTTTAAAACCAGAATGAAACTTGAAGTCTCTCAGATAAAAGCTATTTAAACAGGCGAGAGTAGACTTTGGTAAGAATTGTAGCGAGAAAATTAGTACCAAAAGCTAGCAGGTCGAAAACAGCCCTGCTTGCTGAGCTTGTACTATATGAAAGTTGCTTTGCTGTATTTATAAATTATAATTAAAGGTTTATTAAATTACTTATTTCTTTAAGTAAATCTCTTTGTTTTTTTGGTGGTAGAGCAGAACATATATGATTGGTAATGCAGTCATTACTGACATGAATAATTTTCTATTTCATTTTAGGTATAAGTATTTACCCAAAATAGGAATCCACTCAATAGCAATGTCAAGAAGTAATCGTCGAAAACTTATAACCTTTATTTGATTTTTGGACAGCTGTAGGACTACAGATTCTTCTTTAAACTGAACTTAATTATCTCTCTGTTACAGTCATCCACTGTAGTTCAGTTATTTGGAGTGAAACAGAGCCTTATCCATTTTAGGTATTTGAAGACAGTCTTGCAATCCCAGTTCTCCTTTAAGTTTTCATCACATGGCATAGCTCCTTTCCCCCTCACTATCCTGATTATCTTTCTAGGTAAAGAACCAATTGCCAAGGTCTATCTTGCAAATAGAGATAAAAAAGAAATATAAAATGTGCTTGCTACCACTGAAGTACTTATGAAATATTGATTTTTTTCCCCAATGCCTGTCATGTATCTTTATGCCCAACAGGTATGACTGGTTAGCAGCTACAAAAGAGGAATTTTAACAAATAAGATCAATTTAAGAGGTCTAGTGAGTTGGAAGTGGCAGTGAAAGTTTGGTTGCAGCATGTGTTGTCCAGACATACCTATCCCATTAGAAAAGGAAGGATGCCAATTAACTAGTTTATTCGAAAATTATTTTATTCATCCATTCAATCTTTCAACATTTCTTGAAATGTGTTCTGGGGACCAGGGTGCTGAGAAAAGTTTTTGTGGTTATATCAACTCTGCATACTGTGTTGCTTCTTTGATATTCTCTGCA